TCTCTCTCTCAAATATAAATAAACATTAAAAAAACATTTTAAAAAAATGAGTAGTGAAGCAAATGAGGTCAAAAGATTGACTAGTGGACTTTGAAAATAGGAGAAAGACAAGAAAGCAGGAGTTAAAATGAGAATAAAGAACAAGTTCAACCAGAAAATGGAAAACTGTACACCTAAAAAGCAGTTCCAAGTTCAGGGTGTTAGAAGTAGAACATTTCTAAGCACTTCCTTGTCAGGTCCCAAAGCATGGCTATGCCTAGCAATACCTAAAGTGGAGTGCAGGTGGACATCACTGTTGTTCAAAAGGTGAAGAAACTGTTATTTCGGAGAATTAGAAGGGTCACAGGGGGAAGGAGCAGGTCTCTTTTGTTCAATAGCAAACCCATTTCCAAACATAGTGCCTGGTATACAGTAGGCATTTAGTTAACATTTTTTGAATGAATGGATGGATATTATAGCACTTATCATAGTTATTTGTTTTCCTATCTTCTTCCCCTACTGGGCAATAAGGTCCTTGAATTTTACTTATTTCTGTACCTCTAGTACCTAGGATAGGTAAGAATAGGTGCTTGAATCAAGATCTAAGGAAGCAAATGAGTAGTGAACTGCAAAGAATAATGACAGAGAAAGGGAGAGACAGAAAACTTGTGAATCAGGTGCTAATGTCTTCAAGGGAGGTGAAAGAATACCTTGTAGGTCTATAGAAAGGACCTTAGATAGCCTTTGAGTAGTATAAGCAAATGGCATTGACTCAAAAGAGGAGAGATTGATAAGAGGAAAGAAGACTGGATTTGGAAGTAGCAGTAGGACAAAGAATATTTCAATTTCTCTTCCCCCCGCCCCTGTGAATTCTAGAGGAATTGGCACAGTGTGTTTTCTACTCTGACCACCCCCCATCCCCACCCAATCTGTCACCTAGCCCTCTCATTATTCCCCAAATTTACCTTATCTTGCTTCCTGTTGCTCTCATGCTTCAATACCCTTTTTGCCAATCCCTCTGCCTCCAGACATTCTCTCGTTGGCCTTCCATGCAACAGCAAAAATCAAAGTTCCTAAGCATCATTCAGCAACATCAGTATTTATATTTCTCCAGTGACTCCCATTTGACTGTCAAACCAAATGAAAACTTCCACTCTTGAATTTAAGAGGGTCCACCATGTAGCCCTCACATGTAAACTGTCCTCACTTGCAGTTGCTTTGAAGTTTACACTGTGTACAAATTACCTTACCTTTTCCAAAGCTTCTAATTACCCTTTTCTCCATCCATCCATAGCCCTCTTCATCAGAACTCCCTGAGGACTCGTTTTCTCTTCCTGGCTATCACTAAAAAAACTGTTCCAGAAACACATTGCCTTTCTTTATCCTTTCCTCTGCCCTAGTACCAAACACTCATGAGTGTTATATGTATACACTTTCCTTGTGTGTCAATATGTGATGCCCTATCAATTCTATCATAGAAGTATCTCCCAAATCCATCTCTTCTTCCCTGACCTTGCTGCCACTGGCCTGGATTGTTGCAAAAGCCCCCTTATAACCTTCAATGTATCTTATGCTATAGTCAGAATATCTTTTCTTTTCTTTTCTTTTTTAATGTTTGTTTATTTTTGAGGGAGAGAGCGAGCAGGGGAGGGGCAGAGAGGGAGACAGAGGATCCGAAGTGGGCTCTGTTCTGACAGCAGAGAGACCAACACAGGGCTGGAACCCACAAACTGTGAGATCACAACCCAAGCCAAAGTCGGACACTAGCCGACTGAGCCACCCGGGTGCCCCCAGAGTATCTTTTCAAAATGTAAATCTGATCATTCCCCCAACACACATACACACGTGTAAATACACAGACACATGCAATGTTTGAGATATTTCATACTCCTAAAGTAAAAGCCCACTCATTAGCCTGCCTTGGCATATCTGTGGCCCTTTATGCCCTAAACCACATTTACTTCATTAGCTTCACTCCCACTACTGCTTGTTTCAAACCATCATGCTCTTACGTATGCAGTTCCTTCTCTGAAGCTAGTCCCCTACTAATGACTCTTACAACCATCCTGCTTCCAACTCCACTACCTTCACCCCACATGCCTGTAAACTTTTCCTCATCTTTCTTTTTACTTTTTATTTTCATAATTATGGTTTCAAGGGAGTTTGCAAAGAAATGTACAAGAAAGTTCCATGCACCCATCTTCCAGCCTCCTCCAATGTTCACATCTTGCACAATTATAATTCAACATCAAAATCAAGAATATGATATTGGTATAATTCATAGAGCTTATTTCAGTTTTCATCAGTTATACATGCACTCTGTGTGTGTGTGTATGTATGTGTGTGTGTGGCTCTATGAGATTTTTATCACATGTGTAGCTTTGTATAACCAAAACCACCACCACAATCAAGGTACAGAACTATACCATCACCACAAAGTTGTCTCATACTACCATCTTATAGCCATACCCATCCCTAACTACTGGCAACCTCCATCTGTTCTCCATCCCTCAAATTGTTATTTAACAAATGGTATGTAATGGAATTGTGCAATATAGATTTTGGACTGGCCTTATTCAACCAACATAATTCCATTGAGATCTATCCAAGTTTTTTTGCGTTTACCAATAGTTTGTTTCTTTTTATTGATAAGCAATATTCCACAGTTTGGATATACCACAGTTTAATCATTCACTTGTTGAAGTACATCTGAGTTGTTTCCTGTTTGGATTACTACAAATAAAGTTGCTATGAACATTTGTGTACAAGTTCCTATATTAAAATAAGCCTTAATTTCTCTGGTATAAATGCCTAAGAGTTCAATTGCTAGGTTGCATGGTAAGTCTATTTTTAGTTTTGACAGGAACTGCCAAACTATTTTCCAAAGTGGCTACACCATATTACATTCCCACTCACAATCTATGTGTAATCTACTTTCTCCACATCCTCACTAGCAACTGATGTTATCACTATTTTTCATTTTTGCCATTTTAATAGGTGGCTCATTGTAGTTCTTCTCAAGTTTAAGACCCAAGTCAAAAGTTAGCTCTATAGAGCTTTTTCTAACATCTTCTGGAAAAATCAATTACTCGCTTCACTGTGCCATCTCGGATACTTCATTTATCATTGTACTTTAATTACTGATTAACATAGTATGAGTCTTCCCCTCAGTTTTGAGCCACATAAAGATAAAAGCTGTGTCATATTCATCTTTGTTCCTGCAGCATCTGGTACAGTTTCATGCTAGATACACAGGGGGTAGTCAGTAAATTTGTGCAAAATGAGGGATAGAATGAATGAAGAAACATTGGTCTTTCTTGCCTCCTTCTTCTTCCTGAAAGTTATAAACCTTTTTAGAACAGAGATCATGCCTTCCTCTGTGTCTCCTGATAGCAGCAAATGGGGTTCTCTGTACATGTAGATGCTTAATACATGTTAGCTAACTATTCAGGTGGCTTATTTTCCCTCTGCACCAGTAGATAAGCACATGAAAGAGAGAATAGGCTTGAGTATTCCTGTATTAAGGATCATATGTCAGGGGCGCCTGGGTGGCGCAGTCGGTTAAGCGTCCGACTTCAGCCAGGTCACGATCTCGCGGTCCGTGAGTTCGAGCCCCGCGTCGGGCTCTGGGCTGATGGCTCAGAGCCTGGAGCCTGTTTCCGATTCTGTGTCTCCCTCTCTCTCTGCCCCTCCCCCGTTCATGCTCTGTCTCTCTCTGTCCCCAAAATAAATAAACGTTGAAAAAAATTAAAAAAAAAAAGGATCATATGTCATAAGTTTTATAATATTATTATAATCTCCACAATCACACAATATTTGTCTGCATAGATGAGAAATCAAAACAAAACACTCTTTTGAGTCAAAGAATGCCTCTGCAGCTGAGCACTTTTCAACAGTCTCGATACCCTGGTTACATATGAATTTGGGAGAATGGCATTTTATAACCCTGAATTCTTTTTGCAGTTGCAAAAGGATCTGGAATTTTTCTGTTTTTGCTGCATTGGTATAATTTGACATGTTGATTATGAAGGGGTCATTAACCCCAACATTTTGTATCACTTTCTGACTCTGCCTTTTCTCAACTCTGAAGTATGTTAATTTGCACTTGTTTATATGTCTCTGTAAGAGTTACTCAGTCCCATGAGAGCTGGTATATGTTTTGTCTGAAAACTAGATTGTAAGCCCCGTGAGAGCAGGGACTTTCTAACTCCTAAGAATGCATTCTGGACAGTGTAAGTGTTCAATTAATGATAATACTAGAAGCCTAACTAAGGTCATCTGTCACATTGACAACTTCCTTTTCATCTATGATGCTTATAACTGTCAGGAAAAAAGCTGTTAGGTTGATTTGATACCACTGTATGATTCTACCCAAAATTATCCTCATTACTACTCACTACAACTTATTCTTTAGGGTACTTTCAGATTTATAATTTTGGGTAAGTTGTTATTATTCTCTATCCTATAATACTCTGGTTACATATGAATTGGGGAGGGCTGTATTTCATAACCCAGAAGTCTTTTAGAATAATAGAAAATAAACTGATAACATCTATGCTTTCAAAGCATGTTAATTCTCTTCAGCAGTCTCCATTGATAACTAGATAATAAACTCCAAGGATGTTGGCAATCTTAAATTATCATAAATAATCCTTAACTATGCAGTGTATATGTCTTACTTTCCCAGATTATAAAATGGAGTAAATATATACACTATGTCCTATGGCTATTAAAGTTAATATAAATATTTAAAGGAAGTTTGAGTTCTATAACATAAATTTGATTGTTGGTAAGGTGAAGGTGGAGGGAATTTTTTTTTTTTTTTTTTTGTAAATCAGGTTTAGTAAGGTATAATTTACATACAGTCTGAATCACCTGTTTTAGATGGAAAGTTTGATGGGTTTGACAAGTTGGGTTTCCCCCCTTCACTATTTGCTGACTCAGTTATGTCTCCAATTGCCCCCCCAGACCAAAATGACCTGTCATTTTCTGACATTTTATATCTTTTCTCTTTTCCACAGTGTACTAAAGGAGGTATACATAGCCTTTAATCCTAAAGCAGTGGTCTTACAGCTGGGAGCTGATACAATTGCTGGGGATCCCATGTGCTCCTTTAACATGACTCCAGTGGGAATTGGCAAATGTCTTAAGTACATCCTTCAGTGGCAATTGGCAACACTCATTTTGGGAGGAGGTAAGTACAAAGGAAGTTCACCAGCAGAATTTGCTGACCTTCTTCCACATTTTTTCCACTGGCACTGAGTAAAACTTGGCTTTCTTAGATTGGATAATACCCACATGCCTGTGATCCAGAAGCCTGAGTCAAAGAACTCTGCCCCTTTCACAATTCAGCATAAGGAAGTACTGTGGCACACTTCTCCTCAGCTTGGCATGTGCATTGACTCCTTGGTACTGTGAAGTCTAAGTTTCAATTCCTAAAGCAAAGGGCCTTTGGTTAAAGGTGCCATCAGATCTTATTAAGAATAGTGGGTGTTAACCTCAGTGGACTTTAATCCATCTTCACTCGGTGTAGTTTTTGATTCTCAGTTCTAATAATCATCCTTTGGAAACATACCACCAAAATTCTAAGTCTACTCATATATAAGTAGTAAACACATGAATTAATTAAATAATCTAAGCTGAATTCAAGAATGACTTCTCCCTCCCACCCCCACCAAAAAAAGCATGGATTTGTTACAATAAAGCAAAATTGAGAGATCTAGAATCTCTTGGGCATTCTTGCCTTCAGTGTGTACTGATGTTTTGTATTACTTGACCAAGAGAAAGCTGAGTCTATTCAATAGAAGCATTTACACATTTGTGAAAGTACCTTTTACAACCTCAACTACTTTTGAAGATGCCTTGTTGAGAATCTTCTATCTATCCATCTGGCACAATCTGTATTTCATTGGGTGAATGAATTGTGCGTTAAAATAACATGGTCAAGCAGATTGAGCTTAAAACACAAGAATTATGGAACAGCTAATAGTTTGTTGTTCTGTCGACCTATTGTAAAAACCAAATTAGAGGAGGTTGTGGGAAGGCCTTATGAAAATGAGTGAGCATTCAACACAAATACACAAGCCAGGTCCTTTGGCAGACTCAAACCCTAGAGGGATCAAAATTAAAGGTGCTTACAAGAGACACCCTTTTATGAAAAGCAGGCAAGACATCTATTAACTTCAACTCAGGGAAAAGATAAAATTGATAAATGCTATGTAACATATTACTTTCCTTGACAGCACTAAGGATGTTGATTATGACACAGGTACAGCTCGGGCAAAGAAAAAAGCCCTTTCTACAATATACATCTGTGCAAATTCAACTTTTACACAGATGTGAAAACTTGTGTAAGCCTTTACTTAGCATTTTCAAAGTCACTTTGCTTTCTCAGCCCAAAGTTTTGGCTTGTGAATACATAACTCTTCTTATACAATATGTGTATTCCTGAAAATGCCTTCATGTAAAAGGAATTTTTGCAAATCTAATAATCCTGTATGTGTACCAGAAAGAGTTTACTACTTAAAATCTATGTTGGATCTTTTTGAAATCAAATAATTATGCCCAATAAGTCAATCTTATAAATTCATATTTTTCACATCAGGAATGTTTAAGGTAATATCTGTACTATTTCACTTAAATTCTCAACCCCCAATAGCACATAGACAATTAGTGGAGATAACCATGTCCCCAAGCTTCATTTGACCCCATTGAGGCCTAAATGACATATTCTAAAACACCCACTATCCCTGGCCTTTAAAAGAGTAAGGCTTTCAAGGCTTAAGAGAAAGGTGACCATATGTCCCAGTTTATACATGTTATCCCAGTGTAATTATTAATAGTGTCCCTTTTACTGTTAAAAGTGTACCACTTGGACAATAAATTATATGGTTACCCTACCTAAAATAGACCAGCTTCTATTTCCCTCAGGCTGCACTGAGCTTAAGAAATCATTCCATTTCATCCTTACACTCTTGGAATTTAGCTAAAGGCCGATGTTCTAATGCTTGCATGGCAGAACACATCTATTCAGTGCAGAAATATGCTGATTATTAGCCAGTATAATATGGCTGCTGGCTGACTGTGACAGAACCTGATGAGATGGGTCAGAGCATCAATCAACAGTCCCTTCCCTCATCTCATTCTCGTTGATCTCTGCCACTAGGCCTGTGTTTTGTGGAGAAAAGTAATGCTGATATTGAAAGAAGGAAGTCTATTTCTGCCAACATTTTCCATTTCTCTTTCCTGGATACTTATGGGGCTATATCTGCCAATAGCTTTAACATACAAATCATATCCAGCAGCCATTTTATAGAATTGTTGCAAATTTCATCATAGAGAGACCTTCATGTTGGGTAGGTCACCTCAAGAGATCTGGATTCCAGGGATCTCAGTCTTGCTGATGACTTGATGAAATTCAGGAGCTTGGAGTCCTCAGGTGCATATTTGTTCAGAGATGAGGGCCTCTCTAATCTTTGTAGGCCTTAGACTTCCCAGTTCCACACTGTGCATGGTCTGACTAATCCACTAAAGTCCAACTACTAGATGGTTCAAAAACAGCATAAAGGGATGTTTAGGTGAAGTTCTGCAAGTTGGAGTTGTCTTTTTAGCCCTTTTATTAAAACATTTTTCTCTCCTTCCTTACCCTCCTTCCCTCTCCTGCTGTTTTGTGACTGTTCTTTCCTAACTTCACAATTCTTGATGGAGACAGGAGGCTATAACCTTGCCAACACGGCTCGATGCTGGACATACTTGACCGGGGTCATCCTAGGGAAAACACTATCCTCTGAGATCCCAGATCATGAGGTAAGTAAGGCTCTGACAAGTCCTCTCTTCTTTAAGGGGAAGAGCTGAGTCATTCCACCTAATCAAAATCACGTCCTCACCGCTCAATACCATTTTGTTGAGAGACACTCCAATAACAATAACACACTGTCTTGGCAGAATAGTGGACTCTTGTTCCAAAATATCCAAGACCTTCTGCCTTTTTTACAAGAGATCTCAAAGGCCAACTAACTTTAATTTCTCAATTAATCACAGAGACTGTGGGAAGGGGTCACCTGTTCACACAAAGAACTCTTTGGAATACGTGCATATTTTCATCCCCTAGTCTCAAAAAAGAAGGGGAAATATTTTAAACACATAAGCTGGGTTCTTGTCTATCTTTAAAAAGTCCCATAGGTGGATGTCACACCTGTGTTCTTTGGGGTCAGTCCTGGTCTTTCAGTTTCCTTTGGCTAACATAAAAGTTAAGAAACACATAATCACCACAAAGACATGTCTGGTGTTTTTCCAGTGATTAGTGGCCCACAGAGGTGCCATGTGAAAGGTCATTTGAACCTTTACCATTTTCTTTAGTCATATGAGATGGGCTTTATACTTCCCGGAGCAAAGATGTCTATTTTAGTTTTCCCAAAACAGGTTAACAGAAAGCTGTCTGAGACCTGTGAGTATACTGATTATCCCTTATCTGAAGGTGTATTCCTTCTCTTCCCACCCACCCCCACACTTGGCAGGAAGCATGTTATCACAGATCAAGATGTGTAGTTGTAGACCTTAGATTATGTGACTTATAATGAAGCCAATGTGTGAACCAGTACCTGCAGCCCCACTTTCTCAAGCCATTCCCAGGAGTAGAGATGGTACTTTGGTTACGTTTTTATTCCTACCAGATGCAGAATCTGTATACTTGGGAACATTATTCTTTTTAAAGTTACTATTATTTTTTAAAAATTAGAAACAACCTAAACGAATTTCCTTCCAATTTTCTTCTAACCACAAATGAGGTATAATATGTATCTCTGAAAAATCACTCAACGTGTTTAGAATACAAATTGAAGGCATGCTATAATTTGAGACAATTTGCTGGTGTCAGGGTTAATAGAAGTTTCTTTTCTTGACTTGACTTACCTTTGTTCAGTATTTGGAAGCTTTATGAAATATAAAGATAAGCGAACAAATTACATTTGTGAACAAATGTAATCGCTATTATTGCTGTGGGACTATCTCAGATTGCATTGTAATTTAAAGTATTGAGACTTTAAAACTGATCAAGTTATGTCAAAAAAGTTTTAAACAATAGGAGCTTGAATTGAGAATGAGTGTTCTGTTCCTAGGAAACAGTGCAAATCCATAGATTCATCTGTCTTAAAAGGTTGATAAAATTTTAATAAAGATGAATACTGCCTCTGGTACCTGGAGAAACTATGTGCCTGAATGGATGTGGGCTTGGCCTTATAGATAGACATGTCCTATCTTTATGCTGGCATATTCTGCCAGATTAAATAATATACAATGTATGCCAATTGCCTAACACAGTTCTTGGCACATGATAGGCACTTGTAAAATGCAAGTTTTCTCCTTCCCCTTTGCATGCTCCTAACAACTCCTTATACCCAGACATTTATGACTTTGTCATTCATAAATGTGTCCAAACCCTTTTTGAATCCCTTCTGTCATATCCTTCTGGTACAAGAAATGTGAGTCATCCAAGAAGGAACAAAGAAGAAAATTGAAATGACAGTCTTCCCTGTACAATAAGATAACATTTTAATGAAAATTGCCAAAAATAGACTGCACAGTGTGAAGGCATATATAAGTTTTGTGCCACAATACATAGTTGCACACAAATATCCTTGTGGTTCTATGTAATCAGATCAACAAATGATAGGTCAAAAAATATTTACTGAGCACCCATTGTGTGCCAGGCACTATGATAGGTGTCTTGGAAAATTCAAAGACACTGAAACCTCATCTCATCCCCTACCTCAAGCAGCCTGGGAGGGAGGCTGGTATAAGTTCTGGAGAGGTATGTAGATATACAAATAATTATGTTACAGAGCATAGTAAGAAACACAAGACAGTAGGAACAATGACTGTGGAGATGTGCATCAAATATGAAAGGGATTCAAAGGAGTGTACAAAATACCCTGCCCTCCAGGAGCTGAAAATATAATTGAGAAATCTAGTCAGTGAAAAGGTCAAGATAGTGCAGCAGTCAGCTGCAGTCTGGCTGACTCCACCCCCCCCCCCCCCCACTGTCTTCACTTTCAGTCTTGGGCTTTTCTTCTTCTATGTCCTGGGATAATAATCTTCCTCTTCCAAATGCTCTTTCTCCATCTCTCTATTGTCTTCCTAGGTCTAGCTTCAAGCCCCATGCCTTTAAAAAATCCCTTACCTAAATATACCAAGGCCCTTTGAGCTCTTCCTTCATATTCAGTTATTCCTTCATTCATTTAACAAATATTCATTGCATCCCTACTACTTGCCAGGCCTTATTCAGACTTGAATTCAGAGATACAAAGACTAGCAAGTAAAACCAGTGCCCTCAAAAATTTCACCATCTGATATAGGTGACAGAACAATGTGCTCAAATCCAGGACAGTTGAGGAGAATAGAAGAAATGTTTCACCAAGACTTTGAACTAAATCATGGAGGTTGATTGAGAGTTTGACAGGTAAAGAAGAGGGAAAGACATTCTAGGCAAAGGGAAGTGGGATTGGAAAGGACCTGGTTCCTCATGGGACCAGTGAGAAGTTTGATAAAGTAGTAGAACATAGAGTTCCTAAGGGAGAGTGGGAAGGATTAAGGCTTGAATGAAAATTGGAGCCACATTATGAAGAGCCTTGAACACTGCACTAAAGAGTGTATACTTTATTTCTGTGAAAACAGATGAACTTTGGTTTTTAGAAAGCTTACTCAGTAGCACACAGAAGACAGATTGCAAAAGAGAGAGACTTGAGAAAGGCAAACCTGTTAAGAGGTTCCAGTACACTCCTATAACATAGTCTATACTATTCATTTGGTCATCTGTATTTTGTTGTCTGTATTCCCTCTCAGTGCTTAGCACAATATCAGCCACCCATCTTGTTGGTGTTCATTGTTTGAATGAACAACTGAATAAATGAGTGTTTTAATAATAAGGGTCTCAACATTCACATGGTAAAACTCTTTTTAAGATGGAAGAATTAGAAGCCTTTTGCTGAAAAGACTTCCAGTAGCAAATACCCATCCTTTGCAAGAAGTACCAGGTATCCCAGCTGTAGGAAACAGATGTGCCCATGGGAAAACACGAGATTGCCAACTGAGGGAAGGGAGTTGAGAAGACAAGTCTAGCATAAATATTAGAAGTAATTAATGGTGAGATTTCAGTCATAGTTCTCATGAGATATAAAACCAGTGATGTCATAAAGCCAGTGATCAGGGAGTTGGTCCCAGCTCAGGAATTAGGGAGCCAAGTTTGCCAGCCAGGCATGGAGTAAGGAAGCAATCCCAGCTGGAAGAAGAGCTGAGCCCAGGTTGGAAGGAGAGGAAGGGAATCTGCCCATAGGCTGGCTCAGGTATCTCTACCATAGAGAAAGCCCAAAGGTGGCATGAGGTCCCATAAAAAGACCAGTACAAGGCTACTTTAGCAAATTACCCACTCCATGTAATAAAGCTTATGGACTATCATATATAAGAATGTTCTGTAATCCAGTAATACTATTTGGATCCTATGATCTAGGATAGAGTATGGCAGTTATGTTATATAATATATTCATATATACATATATGTATATGTATGTGCATATATATCAGGGATATGTATATACCTGAATCAGATAGATTTAGTAACAAAATTTAGTGAGTGAAAAATATTTACTTAACCAGACCATTTCTGATGGACTGGTTGGATAAACTATGCATGATTCATATGAGGAAATATATGTAGCCATTGAAAATAATGATTTATATACAAGTGTAGATTTATATACAAGTGTATGTTACTGGTGTAAAACAGTCTTGCAGTGCATCTGTAGATTGTACTGAATCTATAGATCAATTTTGGGGAGGAATAACATCTTAACGATATTTAATCTCTCAATCCAAAAATTTGCTATATCTCTCCATTTTCTTAAGTTTTTAATTTCAAATTTTCATTTATACTTTTCAGTGAACAAGTCTTGCACAAATTTTGTTATATTTACCCTTAAGTATTTCATGATTTTGATGTTATTATAAATGGTATTTTTAAATTTCAATTTCCAATTGTTTGTTGCTAGAATATAGAAATACAATTGATTTTATATTGATCTTGAATAATGTATCATTGCTAAACTCTTTAGCTCTAGTAGCTTTTTGTAGATTCATTAGCATATTTCATGTATACAAACATGTCATCTGTGAATAAAGAAAGTTTTACTTATTCCTTTACAATCTTTATGACTTTTATTTCTTTTTCTTGCCTTATTACACTGGTTGGGACCTCCAATATGATGTTGAATAGAAGTGGTTAGAGCAAACATCCTTGTCTTGTTCCCGATCATAGGGGGAAGCACTTAATCTTTTACCATGAAGCATGATGTTAGCTGTTGGTTTTTTCATACATGTTCTATACTAGGTTGAGGAAGTTCCCTTCTAATCCTAATATACTGAGAATTTTCTCACAAATAAGTGTTAAACTTTGTCAAATGCTTTTTCCTCATCTATTGAAATGATCATATGGAGTCCTCTTATTCTGTTAATACAGTAAATTGCATTAATTATTGCTTTTTAAATGTTAAACCTTGCATTGTTGGAATAAACCCTAGTTTGTCATGGTATAGTATCCTTTTTATGTATTGCTGGATTCAGTTTGGATTTTTGTGTCAATGTTGATGAGGGATGTTGACTTGTTTTCTTTTCTTGTAATGTCTTTGTCTGGTTTTGATATCAGGGCAATGTTGATCTTATAAAATGACTTGGGAAGTGTCCCCACCTCCTCTTTTTTTCTGAAAGAGTTTGTAAAAGTTATACTATTTCTTACTTAAGTATTTGATAGAATTCAC